TGGGCAAAACTGATAATAAATAGTATTTTGGAAAACCATGTCTCAAAAAAAAAAAAAAAAGAAAAGAAAAGAAAAGTGTCCTTGCATGATTGATAAGTTAGAACTGCATGCAATTCTAAAAATGGAGAATATATTGATCAGAGAAAACACTGATGTATTATGTGAATGTATTCATTCCAAATAAACTTTGTTCGAGTTCATTCATGTAGCTATAGGAGCTCTGGTATGTTTTGCGTTCTACACATTCTGTATATATCATGGGTACCCAAAAACCTCCATTAAAACAGCATTTTATGTATTTATTGTTTATTTATTTATTTCAAAATACTTCATTGAGGTATGATTGACTTACAAAAAGCTGTACATATTTAATATGTGCAATTTGATGAGTTTGGAGATAAGTATACACTCATGAAACCGTAACCACAAGCAATACCATAAACATACTATCACTTCCAAAGTTTCCTTCTGCTCTACTTATTATTTGCAAAAATTTTTGTGATATGAATATGTAACATGAGACCTACCCTCTTAACAAAATTTTAAGTATGCAATGTAGTATTGTTAAAAATAGGCACTTTGGTATACAGCAGATCTCTAGGACTTAGGCATTTTGCATACCTGAAACTTTCTACCCTTCGACCAATACCTCCCCATTTTCACCTTCTCCCAGCCCCTGACAGCCAACATTCTATTTTCTGCTTCCAAAAAGGAATAAAATGGTATTTAGACTCAGCCTCTGAGAAATACGTATGTGAACACATTTCTTGTCACCTCCAGTGTGTAGTTAAAGCAAGGAGCAGGGGAAACAAATCCAAATAGGGGTTCAGGTATTGCAATTCAAATAGAATTTAACTCTTCTGTAAGTCTCCGCCAAAACCAACCAGAAATTGGGACTGATGGGAAAAGCAGAAATTGAACACGATACTTTGTGCCTCATAATTAAGAGTCCTGAGACTAATTGCCTCAGAACTTACACACAAGGGCAAAGATTTATAGCTAGCTTCCAAAATGTCTTAAGAATAGAATGTTTTTCAGTTTTTGTTGTTTCTCACTAAGGATGATCTGGGTCTAGGTGCTTAAACTCAAGCCATGGCATCTAAAAACAGAAAAAAATGGCTGGATGTTTTTGTTTTTGTTTTTTTAATCTAAGCATTTCTCTCATGGCATTTAAATTTCTATTTAAAACCCAATAGCTTTCAAGCACACCATCTTAACAGCAATTTACAAGATAAGGAAGATATGGTGGTCAAAGACATCTTTAAAATAATCTTTACCAAATACATTGTTTACAATTGTTAACTCTAAATAATAGCACTTTAATTCAGAATATATTGTTCACAATGTACAGGCATAAACCATTTTAAGTATATCATTGAGAGATTGAATTCTACAGAAATATTAGAAGTATTAAAAGACATTTCAATATAATACAGAATAATTAAATACCTTTCTTTGTCAACTGACTCCAAAAACTTCTCATTTCTTATTTTAAAGACCAAATAATAAATTTCATTAATATTCTTTGTAAATGTTTCTTTCCTATTCTTCAAATATTCATAAGTATCTGAATACTACCATCACTTATATTGCAAAAGGCTTATGGCTGAAAGAACCACATATTTCAATGTAATCCTAGGACCAGCTGCTCATTAAATATATTTACTGATTGCCTTCTGTGTTTTCATCCCAAGTCCAGGCAAGGAGAAAGGGAATCACACCTAAACCATGCCTTGATGAAGCCTGGGGTTGGGTGGTAGGAGAAGGAATCCAGTTTTGCTTTCTGTTGTCTTTCTTCTTTCATTAACATTCTATTTCTCTATCATGCCCTTTTACTAACATTCTACCCCAACACCCGTAACATGTTTCATTTAATATAAAAATAAATTAAATGTTGTTAGGCCCATGAAAAATAAAGCAAAATTGCAGAGTTGGGTTAATTATGTTCTTTTCAGTTCAATCATTAATCCAGATCTTGGTGTTAAGAAAGTAATTACAATAAGAATTGAGATGATCAAATTGATAGAGATTCTTGAGGATTTCATCAGCTATCAAAGGGGACAGAGTTTTACTATTTTGGCCAAGTGGAAAAACAACTCCAGTGGTTTTTCTTTTTTTCTTTTTTTAACCATAAAGCTCTAAATGTGAAATAGTTTTTAAATACCTCAATCTTGGCAAAAAACAAAACACAACAACAACAACAAAAAACACAACCATACCTTCCCCTTTAATAGTCAGCCTTGTTGCTCCATTTATGCTGCCATATTTGGGTATTATTTCTGTGACTCTGGGGATTATTTTAGAGCCATCTGAAAGATATTAAAGTATAGTAGAGGTAAAATCATCAATTTCTTTATTTCAAGGGTCAAATTTTATACAACATATCACAATGTTGCAAGAAAAACATTGTGAAGGTTATAGGACTGCAAGAAAAATACACTCAGGTTTTATTTTTGGCTCCACTACTAACCAATGACTTGACAAGGAGTTAAGTCATTAACTTAGTTCATACTCACTGGCTTTGTGCAAAGCACCATCTTAGGTGCTACCAAGAGCAAGAATAATGCATGATCATTTTCATCACTTACCTATAATATTACATAAAACATTTATTAAACCCTTAATTTCATGTAGTGCTCTCTAAATGCAGATCCATGGCTACACTCAGTACCCCACATAACAGCAGACAATGTGAAGAAATAGGTCATTATAAAAGCACATAAGAAATGCAATGCTAGGTAGGTTAAAGGACTAGACCAGGTACAAAGAGTAATGTTGGTTTTAAGAAAAATTATTTTCTGCAACAGAGTGAGACTTCGAGAAAGATAATTTCTGGGATCTTTTTGGCCTCCAGATGATAGTCACCTTCCTAATGTAAAAGTCACTAATTCATTCAACGAACTGTGTTAGCTTCCCGGGGATACAGAAATGTTAATAGTTAATAGTTCTAACTTTCCAAATGCTTAGCTTAAACAGTGCAGAGGGACAGAAGAAAGCACAGGGGCCATGTGTGACTCAGACCATTTCACCCACACTGCTTGGGTCACATGGGCTTCTAGAAAGAAAGGATGCTCCTGCCACATGTTGGAGGGCAAAATGAATTAGCTAGACTGGAAAAACCATCAGGAAGATGAAGAGAGTTCTAGACAGAGGGAGCAGAGCCGCTTGTGCAGATATAGGGATGAGTTAGCTGCTTCTTGGAAGTTCTGCAATTAATTCTTTAAAACAACTCAAAGATACACAGTGAAAAGAAGTGTTTATTTTCTACTTAAATTGTACGGATCTGGTAATTATCAGAGTCCTAAAACAAATTCTCAGAGTAGGTAGAGTAATTTAAGTGGGGATGCAAAGAAGAGCCACAGAAATTATTGTTTGAAATGGATGAATGAGAAAAGGTTAAGGGAATTATGATTGCGTAGTTCATTCCTGCCTGAAAAATGTTTAGTGTGGACTTCACCTACAATAGCAAAAGCTCTCCAACATAAAGAAGACCAGCTCCCAGCTGCCAGACCCAAAGCCTCTGTGCTTCAGGTCTGTCTTTGCCAAGAGCTCCAAGGTGTTCCTGCTTCCACAGCGCTCATAACTCAGGGCAGCCAACAGCCAAGAGGAGGAAACTCCAGGGAGGGAGCTGGATCCTATCTCCAGGCAGTGCCGCTCCTCGCCTATCTCAGGTTCATCCTCCCCTTATCTCCACAGACAACTCCAATTTCTTATCTTATCAGTCTCTTCCCAGCCCTCTCCTGGGTATTACTTTGAAGACACAGGGCAGCTGCCCCTGGAAATGACTGACACTCGCCACGAAAACCTATTCCTGTCCTACTGGGGGATGTTGTCCTCCCTTCAGTGGCGAGAGGGACCCAAGAAGCGTGAGGCAAGAGAGGACACAGGTTGCCACTTCTCAGTTCCCACACCCCCGTCAAATTTCAGTCTTCAAAAATGTGTCACTTGGCGCTGGTGGGGGAGTGTCCATAATTCAAGCAGCAAAAACGATGAATTAAAAGTAAACTGTCGCTTTCTCTATGTGTCTTTTTCTCTGTGTCCCTGTCACTGTCTCTGCCGCTTTGTCTCTCTATCTGTCTCTGTCCGTTTGTCCTGCTTTCTAGGTCCCCAGTTCCCGGGGTCGCCTCACAGGCTCAGCCCAGGGCAGGTGCCAGGTGGTCCCGCCTCTTCTCCCGCGATCTCAGGAGCAGGTACGGTGTCTACACGGATCTCCACTGCTTGCCTCCCTAGCGCCCCGAAGGGGTTACCTGTGCGGGGATCCACGGCACACAGGAGCAGCCCCCAAAAGCACCAAGTCCCCAGGAGCCACAGGTGTCCCATCGCAAAGCCAGTTCCGCGGAGTCGGTGCCCGCGGCGTGCAGCAGGCGCAGTGCTGGAGCTCCGCTCCGCGACCGCGACTCGCCCGAGCGCGGCGAACTTGGCCGCCGGGGCCCGCCCCGCCCCCAGCCCTCGGGCGGCGCCTCTGGGCTTCGCACACGCGCGCACCCAGACTCCGAGGACCCTCGCGGGAGAAGCGAGACCGCCCGGGCCAGTCTGCGGTCGTCAAACCTCTCCCCTCGAACCCGGGTGCTGACGTCCCAAGGCTGCCCCCATAAGTAAAATGGCCCTACTACTTTTCGCGAGAGGGATCCAAGATCAAGTTCTCCGTCTATCCCAACCAAAGGTTTTTTCTTTCTTTCTTTCTTTTGCCTGTCTGTCTTAATCATTAATTCTCCCGAGGTGGGCCTATGAGCCTTCCTAATACGCAAACCTCGCATATTTTCCCTTCGCATTCAAAGAAGTTTGTGCTATCCCTGTAATTGACAATCATGAAGATATTTATTGATTTCTTGGCATGTCCCAAACACTGTAACTAGTGCTTTATAGACAGGAACTCACGAAGTCCCAATAGGACTGTTACTATTGCTGTCATTATCTCCATTGTTCCAAGCAGTAGACTGAGGCACAGAAATGGTAAGTAACTTGCCTAAGGCCATGCACCCAAGCAGAGAGTGAAGACTGCGGCAGAATGACTGCCGAGCCAGTGCCTCATCCTCCCACGGCCTCCAGTGCAGATGACTTTCGGCAAGGGCTTACCGTTGACATGCAGGGAGGCCCAGCACTGTTGACCTGTTTCTGGGGCTGCTAAACAGCAGAGGAATGAGATCCAGGGGTCCCTGACCTCATAGAGTTGCATTTTATCTTTACCTACTGAATACTCCCTAGGGGCTATTCCAAATCCTCTCCACTGTTTTTACTATCCTAACCTCATGGTTTCTTGACTTCTTGACTGCCCACCTCCTCCTACTCTATTAAAAGGTGAGACACTCCACCCACCCTAGCTTGCAGGTTCTTCATTTTTAAATGTTCTGTGTTCTTAGAAGATACTTAAAAGTTTATCAGCCTAATACAATGCATAAGCTTTGACTGGATCCTGGTTCAAAAAAAAAAAAAAAGCTTTAAAAGACATTTAGAGAACAATTAGGGAAATTGGAAATTGAAATGAAATATGGACCAGTTATTAAAAGATATTATGCGAGTGTTCATTTTGTTAAGTATAATAGTGGATATGTTATGGAATTGCATGCTGGGTTATTGGGGTTGGAGAGTCATGATGTCTGGAATTTACTTCAAAATGGTTTGAAAAGAAAATATCCTGGTGAAAGAAAATCTGGCCCATTTTAAACAATTTTTGTATTTAGGTGTAGCTATGATCCTTTCCACTTTTCTGTATGCTTAAAA